TGTTGTAGGTCACAACTGCCAGTGATTACCATAGCAGGACAGAAACAAACAGGCCAGGGTTTCTGACTTTAGAGACAGCACGGCTGACATTTATTTTTAAACGCTGTCCAAAATGCAGTCAAGATAAGCTGTAAGAGTCAGGCGGGGGGGGGGGGGGGGGGTGCACCCACTATTGGTCATGAATCAAATACAACAAAAAAGCAAAGACTGCAGTCTCTCTTCCATAAGTTTCTTCTAACCTTGAGATTTTCCCCACGTAACAATCTCCTTGGCAGAGTTAAAAAGAACACTTTCACTGGGAATATCGTCAATGCCACTGAACTGTACTAAAATGGCTAAAGGCTGGAGGTGAGGTTTAGAGACAGTGTCCTTCTAGCAGCCCCCCACACACACACACACACACACACACACACACACACACACACACACACACACACACACACACGCGCGCGCGCGCGCTCCACAGGCTAGCATGGTAAAATGTCTATGTATAACATACCACAATGTGAACATCTTTGTGTATGCTTTTCTCTTTGTATTTTAAAAAGTGAAGCGGTTAAAAATCAAAGCCCTTTCCTCAGTTATCCCAGGCCTCTTTATTATAGGAAATAAGAGAAAGGAAAGAAGGACAGACAGCAGGAAAGACCGAAGAAAGAGAGAGAGGGAAGGAAGGAGGGAGATGGGGGACCCTAACTAACTAGTCAAAGGGAAGGCCAACACTGCTGGCAGGAAGGCCACGAGATCAGGGTATCCTCAGTGCTCCAGCTCCGCCAAGAAATGCCCAGTGTGTCTGCCCACTGTCTCAACCTACCTCTAGGCCCGGCACAAACCTAATGCTAATCCCCAAACCCTGAAACTTTCCAGAAGCTGTGAGGACGTCCCAGGCTGTTTGCAGATCTCAACTCAGGAAGAGCTGATGCTCCTTCAAGTGACCACAGCCTCGTTCCCTGGGTCGTGGCAAAATGTTTGCAGACCTAGACAGATAAACAAAACCTCGGAGAAGAGGAACGAAGTGAGCAGAGGAACCCGCTGTCAAACACTCAACTTACTTTCTGCTGCCTCAGATGGCAGGGAAGTGCTCCTCTTAGAGCACTCTAAATGACCGCCATGGGGAAAAACGTGAGGCCACATGGAGAACCAAATGAAAACTAGAAAGAAAGAAAGAAGGAAAGAAAGAAAGAAAGAAGGAAGGAAGGAAGGAAGAAAGAAGGAAAAAAGAAAAAAGGCTTTTCCTGACCCCCCCCCAATAAATAAATAAATAAATAAATAAAACTTTAAAAAACGAAGACAATCAAGCAGTCTCCAGCCGTGATCTACTTATTGTTTCTCGGTGGAAAATGAGGGGAGGTAAGAGCACTGCTGGAATTGCCTGATTCAAACTGGGAACCCCATGCTGCCAAGACGGCACCGCCGTCAAGGAGAGAAGTTCACTGAGGTTGTCCATTCAGTCACGGATGTCCAAGTCAATGTTTACATAGCTCATCTTTTATTCTTTGTTTAAAGAGTCAAGGAGATCCCATGAATACCAACAACCACCTCAGTTTTCAACTGGCCTCACTGAGGTGCCCTTCATGCCTCTGAAGAAGGAATTCAAGGCTGAGGGCGAGAGGAGCAAAGCCAGAGATCACACACAGACTGGACATTCTCTCCAGAGAACGGCTGTTTGTAGAGAACACAAGAGTGATCCCACACGCCCGGACGCAGGAACTCCATAGTTCCACGTGTCCCGTCCCTGTTTCATTACAAAGCTCCCTCTGACAGATCTGACATTATTTCTAGGTCATGCCTGAACTTCTGAACCAGATTACTCCTAATAGCATTACAGTGTCTCCGTGGCTTTCTACCACCGAACCGCCGTGCAACAAAGACAAAACTTTATTTTTAGAGTTGGAAAATCCTGTGTTTGTTTTTCTACAACAGGAGCACTTACAGAACTGAACCTGGTCTGTTTGGATTTGAGCCTCTCCTAATCCCGAGGCCCTGTCCTGTGTCCAGGAGGAAACAGAAGAAACCGTGCTTGTGCTCTGTGCCACGCTGGAAGTTGAAGAAGCACCCTGCCTTCCCTGGCTCTAGGCTCTGGCGCCTCTGAGCCTCCTGCTGGTTGCGGTTCCCACTGCTGGAGGCACATCACAGGACACCTGCTGTATGGCAGGGAGAGGCACCACTTTCAAACTGGTTTGGTGTTTGCACTGCTAACCTCTTGAATAGAATGTTTAAGGCAATGTGCTTAACCACGAATTCACTCTGAATCACTCAACTGGCATGAAAGGCTAAATGGGAGTGATGGGAGTGGGTTTGTATTTCTTCGTAAACATTAAGCCCTTGAAAAACCCTACTCCAGCAATGTTTCAATAACACGGATTTCCAAACAGCCATCTCTTAGATGGGAAAATATGCGATCCATATAAAGCATAGAAAAGCCCTCTCACAACATAAATGTGTGAAACCAACATGGAATAAGCAGGTGTTTCATCTCTTGAATTCGTCAGGTAAATTCCCCTTTTTCTTTCATCACTGAAATCGAACAACCATAATTAACATGGTTACCACAAGCAGAGAAGGCTTTGCAATTAATCCTACTTTAACTAAAAAGATTATATTCCTTAGTTCACAAAAGAGGCCAACTCAAAATATTGTTGCCAAAGTCTAAGCTTACATTTACCCCCTAATGATTAACAACATAAAGAATACAAATTAGTTATACGGAAACTGTTCTGGGTCCTAAGGAAAACTGTGCAGTAGAAGAGACCAACCAACTCTGAGGTGTAAATAGGGGGATCCGCCGCCGCTGCTTAGGGAAAGCAGCAACACAAATTATTGAGCCCCTGAGAAACTGTTCCTCAGACTTGAAAACCACCTTTCAATCCCAGTCAGATTCTGCCCTGAAGAGCATCTGCCTCCCATCATCTCCCAGCCCTCACTCAGCACACCCTACAGGGTCATTTATCCTTGTCTCCTAGCTCATGAGGGACCATTGTTTATTTAGCCTTGTATTGCTACTAGCCAACAAAATGCAGGGATATGGGGAGGCCTTAAGACCTCGATGAGCAATTAAAATTTATGAGGTTAGGTACTATGGAGTATATAAAATGGGGGCAGAAGGGGCCACCAAACTATGTCCAGGGAGAAGTGCAAAGCTTCTCAGAAGACCCTTTGGCCTTGGAAGCTGAACAAGACTCCCTAGGACAAGAAGATCCCTTGCAGCTAGAAGCCTTACCTCGGTAGTACTGTTCCTGATTCAGTCCTCAGCATCAATACATGTTATGTGTGTCTATGTGTATATCCATGTATGTGTGTATGGTGGGCCTTCAAAGGGAAGAGCCTGCCAAGGTGGCAGGTGGACACCAGAGCCTTTGCATGACAGCCGAGACCCCCATATAATCGCTGGGGGAATGTAAGAACATGGGAGGCAGCAAAGAAGTTCAGAGAGAGGAGGCTTATGTGCTAGGCAAAAATGGTTTTCACTGAGGACTCCGGCCTTTGAAAGCTCCTGGGGTTATTAATCCTGACAGTGTCGTGAAGATTCATCCCTAAAGACTCTTTAGCTAAAAGTTATGACATACACTAAAAGAATTTTGTCTACAAATGTCTATAAAGACTATTTGCAGCTTTTGCATACCAATGTACACCATCACTACACACGTGAGCACACACTCACTTCTGCCTGTGAAACATACTTGTGTATCTACACACATGAGCACACACACGAGCGCGCACACACACACACACACACACGTCTGCCTGTGAAACACATACATATGTATACATACACATGTATATGTATGCCTTTCTGGAAGTCTCATTCACACAGGAGGTAAAGGGGGCTCCTTTGAGTGACCACTGAAATTATATTTATTGTAATTTTTCCAAGAGGAAAAATCGAGAACTCTTTTAAAGTGAAAGAAAAAATTAAGATAACTTGAATCCTTTTTTTCCTCTTACCGTCCTTAAATATCAAAGACTATGGGGCAGCAGCAACATCCCCAGTGCAGAGTTCATATAGTTACATGATGGGGGTCCCAGTCCGCCTGACAGCACTGCTCAGTGACGAAACTTTTAACTGAATGATCTTGTAGGTAAGGTTCTAAGCTAGAGGACAACACAATCCCCTATCCCTTCACGTGCTTGGCTCAAAGAAATGAACACCGGCTTCTTGCCTTTCGACTTTGCCAGGTATTTAAAAATGTAAGATAAGATGATATTAGTGAGCTGCCTAGGAGACACCGAAAGGCTGGGCGCGGATCGTGGATAGCCTTGAGTTTCACCCCAACAGATCCGCCCAGCATAGGGCAGGAGGCCAGCACGCCCGCCCGCTCTCCGGCTCCGGAGCTAGCGGCAGGCGGCGCGCCGGCACGGAGGGAGGCAGGTACCCGGGCGCACCGCGCGCAGAGCCGGGTCGCAGGGCGGGCATGCGGCGACTGTCAGAGAAGGCCAGCATCCTCCCCGGCCTGGGCAGGAGCCTGGGCCTCCGCCGCTACTACGTGGACCGGCTACCAACCGATAGGTCACGGCAGGAGGCGGAGGCGCGACTGCGCCCGCAGGGTCTCCCAGGACGCGTTGCACCCGGCGCGGCGCGGGGGCGAGGAAGCCCAGGGCGGCGCCCCCGCATCCCCACCCCGCCCCGGCAGCCCATCCGCGTGGTCACCGGCCACGGGCTGCGGCCCCCGCGCTTGTGGGGGTGGGGGGGGAGGATGCGGCGTTACCGGGTCCCCAGCTCCGCCGCCCCGGCGATCCCGGAGATAAAAGTTTGCAGCATGCAGCTCGTCTGCAGTGCGAGTCACATCCGCCGCGCCACCTCCTGCAGCAGCCGCGCTCAGGGAAGGAAGGGATAAATTAAAAATTAAAAAATACAATAAAATAACTGTTGGAGCCGGTAGGCCCCGAAGCCGGCCGCTCTGCCTCCGGGCGTGCAGGCAGGCAGGAAAACCGCATCCCGCACCCACTCCCGCCCAGTCTCCGCGCCCGGCCTGGACCGGCCCCGCAGCACCCTCCGCACTGACCGATAACCTCCTGAAGCTCGTAGGCGTCCCTGCAGATGGGCCAGCCGACCGCCTGAGCTGCCGGGGCCGAGGCTGGGGCCGCAGCGGGAGCCGGGGCCGGGGTTGCGGACGCCGCCGGAGCCGGGGCCGGTGCTGATGTCGCGGCCGCCGGGGCCGCCGCCGCCGCTGCCGCTGTCACCGGGGCCGCCTGCTGGGGAAGCTGGACGTGCACGGGCGAGCCGCTCGGCTCCGCCATGATGCTGCGGGAGGAGAGTGAAGGGACGCGCCGGCCGACCGACGACCTTCCACTTGAAACTTCCCTAGCCTCGTCACCCACACCTCTCGGCCGGCGCACGCCCTCCCCGTCCGCCGCCGCCGCCGCCGCCGCCGCCGCCGCCGCCGGAGCCTGCCACGAGGGGAGGGAGCCGGAGGCCGAGCCGGGCGGAGGGAGGAGGCTGCGCGGCGGAGGCGGGGACGGGAGGAGGCGGCGGCCGCCGCGCCCGCCGCGCGCCCCGAACCTCGCGCGCGCGGTGCTCTCGGCGCTGCCGAGGGGAACCGCCGCCCCCTCCCGCCCTGCTCGCTGCCGCCGGGGAAGTTTTCCAGGCGCGTGGAGCCGTGCGTCTTCGGGGGGGGGGTGCTTTCGGGGCTCACCCCGCTCCCTTCCTGCCCTCCGGGCGCCTCCGCCCTGGACGATCGCGCCCTGCAGAAGCAGCCCCCCTGGGACTCGGAGGGCGGGGTCGTTGAACGGCTGCCAGATTCTCGGCCGGCTAACTCTCCCCGGCTCAAGAACCGGGAGTTCTTTTCACAAGTTAGCGAGGGAGACACCTCCGCGGCGGCGTCGTTTTTGTAGGGCGCCGGTTAAAATGTAACCCAACTTGTAACTTTCCGGTGCTTTACCTGGCAGGATCCCTTTCGCACCTTGCCGAAGGTGATGGCAGTGCTGCTCTGAGATGAAACCCGACTCCCTAAGTCCCTGGCTTTCTCTTTTTGTTCAAAGCCACTTGGAGCTCAGAAAGGTGATGTCAGGGGCTGTGAAGTTACAAGAAGTGGAGAGGGGCTAAGGACAGAGCGCTGGCCTAGCGTGCTAAGGTTCCTGGATCTACACCCTACCTCACCCCCAGCACCTTTTATACACCGTGCTCAGTGTATAGTACCTGCCTAATAAACTTCTTAGGTTCGATACCAAGTACAAATAAATACATAAACAGTCACGTTAACCCTTTAAGACCCTGAGGTCAGACAATAAGTTTCTTTGACGGAACCTAAGGAACTTACTGGAGCATAAATTAACTGCAGTGGAAAGTTTTAAATAAATGCTGCCTTTTCAACACTCCCCGTATTACCTCATCTTTAAAATAGCTGTGGCAAAACCAGAGATCTTTCTAATTGCAGGTGTCACATTTGAATGTTCGACTCTGTTCTCTCACAGCGGTGACCACGATTAAATGATTCTTGTCTCAGGCTGGAATGCTCAGTGACTCAATAGCCGTATTGGTTCTGTGGCCGACATTAGGTCGATCGGGTCTCAAGGGGGTTCAAGGTTTGAGGCAGAACAAAGCACGTGTAATATGCCATCAAACTCTTAACACTAGTAAAGATCTCCTTAAACTTTTTAAAAGATACTTCTGAAGAAACGTAGACTTTTGCTAGGAGAAAAACCAGTTGTCTAGTGAAAACAGGGATGCAAACTGATAAGTTTACTTAACCCCTCAGAACACTATGGAACAGTTAGGATAAAGCAGCTCGCACGATGAACTAAGAATGTGTACCTCCTTTTATGCAGATCTGCTATATTTAAAAAGCAAGTATATTCATTCTAATTTCTGTCAAGAAATAGACTGCTCCTTCATAAACAAACTCTAGGCCTCTGATGAACAGGATGGCTCTTTATCCCAAGCCACACCTGCCCTGTTTACCTCTGCATGAGCCGCTCCCATTCTATCCAAAGAACTTTTAAGGACTGCTTTTAGAGGAAAACAAGAGAGACTAAATGAGCATGCCGCCTACTTTGTCGTACAAAGTTATATCTTGATTTTCGATCAGGGAAGCCTTTAAGACGTGGTAGGAAAACGTGATTCTCGGATCCCAGTCAAACACAGATCACGTAGCTTCCCACAAAGAACAAGTGTTCCCTAGTCAGAGACCAGATATCTGTCCCCAGCTGACCATCTTCCAAATGGCGACCAGGGAAGCCATTTGTAAGAATTGCCATGAGCTCAAGGCTGTTAGTGTGTTTAAATTGAAGATTAGGTTTCCACATAAGACCGGGAGCTCCAACATTATGGCTGGGAAAGGGACCTTTACCACAAAAAAAAACAAACAAAAACAAACAAAACCATCTGGCACAAAACATGGCTGAGGTTCACAAACCCTGGCGTAGAATGAGGAAATGTAAAGAGAAAACAATGGACCCTTCTTATCTTCCCTTTCTGTTTTCAAGTCTCAGAATAAATGAATCCTATATGCACTGAAAGAAGATTTCTTTGTATCTTAATGGCATCTTTGACCAGAAACACAATTTAGATTTAGTGATCAATTTCCAGGCAAAATGCTTCTTAAATACCTATATTTCCAAGTGTCAAGTACAAGTACAAGTGCTAGTTTTCTTGGTTATTTATGGAAACATTAACTTACAGATTCAATCTCATGTTTTTATATAATTTTTAAAAAGCCATGCTCTCTTCCTCATATTTAAGCCTGATGACAAAGGCCCCTGACACTTGATGTTCTTTAAGCTTAGTTACCTATGGAAGGAGTGGGTTCTTGGGACACCCTTGCATGTTGTCATTCTGGTAAACCAATAGGAAAGCCACCAGAGGAGACAGACAGCTGGTCTGTGACAGGAACAGTTGTTCTTTGTGGGAAACTAAATGATCTGTGTCTGATTCAAACCTGCGATTGGTCTCAACAGCTCCATATTTTTCTCCTATGTCCCACAAACATTCCTGGCATTCATAATTCCTGTCCATGGATTGAATGTAGAAATATAAATTTATCTGACAAAATACAGGTCATATTTATTTGATCTTTTTTTTTCTTTTTCTTTCCCCTTAAAAGTTCTACTGGGAAGAATGGGATCAGCTTTTGGGGAGATGAGCAGGTATGGCTCTTTATAACGAGATCCTTGTTCGTAGGATTAAGGTCCTCATAAAAGAGACCTGAGAAAAATCAATTATGGTGGCACACACCTGTAATCTCAGCACTTGGGAGGCTGAGGTAGAAGAATAGCTAGTTTGAGGCCAGCCTGGGTTATATCAGGGAGACCTAGTTTCAAAAAGAAAGAAATCCTCAAAATCTATGTGCTTCTGCCCGTGCTTGCCTTTTCCTTCTTCCCAAGTGTGTGTGTGTGTGTGTGTGTGTGTGTGTGTGTGTGTGTGTGTGTGTGTGATGTCTTGGGAATCAAATCTAGGGATGCATGTTTCATACTATCTGCCACTGAGCTATAGTCCTTGCCTCGACTGTAGAAACTAGAAGGAAGTAGCTATAGAAGAGAAATAGAGTTTTTACAAGAAACACAATTTTCTAGCTTCCATAGTTGAACTTTCTAGCATCTACAACAGCTAGAAATAAATTTCTACTCTTATAAGCCACCCAGCCTAAGACATTTTGTTTCAGTAATGTTAATAAGTCAAGGGATTCTGGCTTTTACTTATTACTTATGAGTGACATCCCTGATATGATTATCAAAAATGTCTCCAGACATTGCTAAGTGTCCCATGGCTTATGTAAACTAAGAATGCACATACTACAGTGTTGGTCAATTTGCAAAGACAGTCTATAAATTAAGTCATTTATTCATAAGAGAGGATGGATAATCTCAGGCCCTAGCCTTGACAAAACACACTCAATTCAAATTTTGAATACAACAATTTTTTGAATCTCTGATTTTGGAATTTAAGTAACTGTCTGAGTTTCAGTTTCCTCTTGTGTATGTTCAGCCTGGTAAATAAAACATCTTTGCAATTTGTTGGGATGTAATTTGTATAATGACAGACCCATAGTGGATATTAAAAACAAAAACCCTTTAAATACTTTGGTGGTTTGAAAGAAAATGGCCCCCAAATGAGTGGCTGTATTTGGAGGTATGGCTTTGTTGAAGTAGGTGTAGTCTTGTTGGAGGAAGTGTGTCATTGTGGGGGCAGGCTTTGAGGTCTCATATATGCTCAAGATACTGCCCATTGTCTCAAAACACTTCCTCTTGCCTGCAAATCAAGATGTAGGACTCTCAGCTCCTTCTCCACCACCACATCTGCCCACACCACAATGTTGCACCATGAAAATAATGAACTAAACCTCTGAAACTGTAAGACATCCCAATTAAATGTTTTCCTTCATAAGAGTTGCCATGATCGTGGTGTCTCTTCACAGGAATAGAACACTGAATAAGACAGACACCACCACCATTATTGTCATATATGCCAAGATGGTAATAAAATCTGTAGGGTTGAAATAGGGTTGCATTGATGATTATGACAAAGATAAGTTCCCCAAGGACAAGAATTTTTGTTCCTTTCATATGTTGATGGATGCCTAGGCCAAAAACTACTATCTGGCACACAGCACACTGAGTAGTAAACATGAGGTAAATGAAAGTGACGCTTTCCATCTTTTATCTTATTCTGTTATTTTATTTGCAGTGACGCTTTCCATCTTTTATCTTATTCTGTTATTTTATTTGCAGTAATGTGGATCAAACATACATCCCTGCACATGCTAGGCAAGTGACCTACCACTCTGCAGCTCTGTAACACTTTTAAATTTATAAGCCAAGTATTGTGCAGCCATGGGTAATCACAACTATTCCAGAGGCTGGGGCAAGGGGATGGAGAATGGGAAGCATGCTGTGGCTACACAAAGACCCTGCTTCCAAAAAGAATTTACAAAAACATCTTTTAAGCATCTGAATGAGTCAATGTCAAATTCAGATGAGAATTCTGGAGGTGGAGGGACTGACTGGAAAGCCATGGCCATAATCAAGCTAGAGAAGTGTTGATGTGAGCTAAGCCGCCATTGAAGAGACAAGGTAGATGACATAGGAGGCCAGACTGGGATATATAGGGAGAACTTGAAAGGTCTGATTTGCCCAATACATTAGTTAAAAGACACTACACAACACATTTTACATAATGTTTTGGAAATACATCTGATAATCAGGAGTTCGCTCATCATAAGAGATGGCCACTTTGCCCATGACTAACATATAATTTAGTCTTTTGAGTCCTAGGACTTTCTAAGACCCCAGGTTTCCTTAGCTTCCTGAGGCTTCCTACTTCCTCTGTTCGACTCAAAGGAAATAGCTACAGGACAGACATTGAGCCAGCTTCGTTTTAATTGGACTGGCTTTCCCAGTACGTGCTAATGAAAAGGACCGACCCACTGCTTTATTTTAGCACCACCACTGCACCAAAG